AATGTTTTAAACTTGTAAAGCGGGAAGTTTTTGGTAAACCCGTTTGCTGGTATAAAAGCGGTTTTAAAATATACCATATCGAACGTTCCTTTTTAATACTTTTGGCGTAGTTACATATTTATAATATTTACGTGCTTTAAAGCCGTATTAATGCGGGTGCCCTTTTCGATTACTAATTAAATCGTTTGTATGTTATTACAGCAAAATTTCCAAAAAGTATTAATTTTTAAGCGCAGGTTTCGAAAAAGCCTTTGCATAGCGATAATTTTTTTTTCGAGCTTTATAAGCGCCAAAAGCTTTGCTTTTATGGTGGACGTTGTAACGGTAGCTTATTTTTTTGCTTTTTACGCTACGGGCCTTCCGAATAAAAATATAACGTATTTTTTAAACGACCTTTTCGTTTCTTTATCGTCGGCGAAAAAGGCGTTTAAGGCAAAAAGCAAATGGTTGGACCTTAAAACGTTCCCTAACCGGATGCAATAAAATTTTAACCCTTTTAAATACAAAAAGGTATGGTTTGCCGCTTTTAAATGCTTTTTACTTGGGTTTGTAAAGTATTTAAAAAGTTTTGCGCTTGCAAAAGCGACGTTTGGGCGGATAGTAATGGCCGTATAAAGTATAAACGCAACTTTTTTTTGCATGGCCAAAACCTCGGCGGGTATTGCTATTTCCAAATTTTTTTTAAACGTTTGGCTAAGCAAAAGGAAGCGCTTTACGCTTTTATTTTTAAAGTTAAAGGTATTAACGATTTTATTAATATAAAAGTCGTAATGCAAAATTATTATCCGTACTTTTTTATCCTTTACAATTTAAACCCCAAAAAAAACTTTAAATGGTCCTTTTTTTATTTTGTATTTTTTTTTAAAACCGTTTAACATTTTCGTTGTTATTTTTAAATGCGTAATACGGTTAAAAATAATTATATTATTAACGTACAAAAGGAAAAAAACTTTACGTTTTATATTTATAAATAAATAAAGCTTTTCCGTTAACGGGATAAGCCCTAGCTTTTTAAGGGTTTTTTTGAAAGCCAAATATTATAACTTCGGTAAATTCCGTAGCCCGTACAAAGCTTTTTTAAACCGGGCCACGAACCTTTTTTGGTAATACCCAAAAGGGAATTTTACGTAAACGGGTATATGGTTATTGCTAATTTTTGCGTAAAAAAAAGCTTTATTAACGTTAATTTGGTACGCTTTAAAATTAAAATAAGCTATAATTGCTATTATAATTTTAAAGCTTTTAATTGCAAACGTAGCAGCGTAAATCTTTTTTAAACCGTTAGGTTATTAATTACTTTTAGTTACCGCGCGGGATTTATAGTTCGTAACGTAGCCGTTTTCGTCGAATTTGTAAATAAATACCTAAGCAATATCGATAATTTTGCTATTAAACAAATTTTTCCAAATTTTTTTCCAAATTTTTTTTTTAATAATTTGTTAATTTTTTTAAAAGCAAATTGTTTAATTTTTTTTTATGCGGGTGCGTATTAAGCTTTTGCTAAAATTTTGGAATTTATTGTAATTCGTTTCGGTACAACCGTTTGTTTTTTTAAAAATTATTGCGCTTTAATGTTTTTGTTACGGCAATTGCAATTATTTTGTAAACCGGGCAATGGCCGAAATTACTTTTTTTAATTGCCGTTTATTAATTAAGCAAATACGTATCGAAAAAAGCTTGCTAGCTTTCGTTTATTAAATTTATTTTAAAAGCAACGTTTTTAATTTCCGGTTTAAAAGCGTTAAACGTTATTGTTAGGCCGTAATAAAAAATAGCGCTATTAAAGTTATTGCGTTGCTTGCTTTCCTTTTTTTTTTTTTTTTTTTTTTTTT